GAATAAGTAGCGCATCTGTCATAATACAAACGTCATATCAAAACACGACGTAACCAGGGTGGGATTTCGTAGTCCTAATTGTAATATTATTTCATAGTTTGTAGTACATAATATCGTAATAATACTAAGCGAAAATACCATAATTTTACCTAAAGGTCGACTTGTATTATTATTAGGTCCTTTTACATTTTAATATTACCCCTACGATATCGAGAATCTCTGTAGTGTACGTGAGTACCGCGTTTTTTTTTAATAAGATTAGAATTAACTCCCTTTCTAATCAATCGATGCTCGATCGATGCACTTATGTTGCATCCTTGATACAACTATGATGACTACCACGATAAAAACTTTATGCTCCAGAAGAAATCTGTTTTAAAACAGAATTTCAAAATATTTTATGAATCAGATTTTCAGATTCACTTAAGCAGATATGGTTTCTTTTGTACTCTTTTTGTTTTACCTTTATTGAATATAAAATATATTAGGTACCAAAAACCAAAAAACAAACAAAACAAAAAATAAAACAGTAAAAACGAAACGTATAGATAAACTAGACGCGTGACGCCAAAATCCCGGCACATGGCAAAAAAAGAAACAACAAACGTCAAACGTGATATAATTTTTTTAAATAGTGTAATTTTATTTTCCATGTACAATATTTTTGAGGGTCTGAATCCAACCCTGGCCTAATCTTTTTTTTTATTCTTTTTTTTTTAATTTAGGGACTTAGGTTATTTTAAACATGTCAGTCCCATTGTACCTAATAACTAAATAACAAACTACAATTTCTTAAATTATTTAAACAAAAAATTAACTAAGTTATATACAATTTGAGCAGCATTAGATAATGGTTCAGACAAAATGTTTTGATATTCCCCTAGGTTACAAATTTTAATATCAGTTTTGGCAATTAATAGTTTCCTTTCATGATGATTTTTGGAACATTCCGCGAGCAAGTGTTGTACATCCTCTATTGTTTTGCATGTATCGCAATTTGGAGATTGTTTTATTTTCATCATAAAAGCAAACTTGTTACACGGAATGTGTCCGGAACGAAGTCGCATTGCTAATACAATATATTTTTTATTCAACAGACATTGATTAAACCAAGGCACTTTCGGAGGCTGACTCTGGATGGTTTTGTACAAAATTCCTTTTTCTTGCGATCTTTTATCAAAATATTCTTTCCAAATTGTATAACATTTCTCTTTATATTTAATTAAAATTTCTGAATAATCAGGATAAATATTATATTCTCTTCCTTGGGTGATTGCCAATTTTGCCAGCTTATCAGCCTCCTCATTGCCCTGTAAACCGATGTGAGACGGTACCCACTGCAATACTAACTCACAGTTTTTACATTGAAGTTACAATATTTCATTTAATATCGAATATGCTGTCGATACACCTCTGAGACCAGAGACGCATCGAGCAATATGTTCAAGAGCACTCTTGCTATCAGTTAGAATGACTGTTTTTTGAAAATTTGTAGTACCAGCATGTAATAGGGCATCATTTATAGCAATTAATTCAGCTGACATTATCGTAAAATTATTAGGAATTTTAATTTTACTTTTATTACCCAGCAATGAGTCAAAATAAGCGGCACCTACACCATATTTATCTTTGGATTCATCACAGAAAATTTTGTGCCATCCGAAATAATTAACATTTAATTCATTTATTACATTTGACTTTAAAGTATTTATCTCCTGACATCTTTTAGCACCCTTGATACAATTTAAGTTCTGTTTAATTACGTTTTTAACATTGATATTTGATACCCAAGTATTTAAAGAGAACATATCTAGTGGATCCGAAGAATACACATTATTATTATTAACTTGTTCTAATGTAATTGCTAGAAGTGGTTTCTTTTTATTTTGCCAGTACCTGTCTTGACAGAATAAGCTGAGTTCTGTTAATAGTTTAATAGTAGTATTATTAGTTCTAGATTTACCTTTCAGACAATATTTATATGCTAAAAATTTTCTTCTAATATATATAGGCGTTATATTTAATTCACTTTCCATAACGTGTATTGGTGTACTTTTGATAAAACCTCCTATAATACGAAGTGCTCGATTTTGGACTTTATCTAATTTACAAATGTTTCTATTAGCACTCATATCATATAAAAAACAGCCAAAATCAATTCTGCTTCTTATAAGTGATAAGTATAACCTACGTAAATGCTGCGGATGGATACCCCAACTATGCCCTGTTAATACTTTTAATATATTTACAAATTTTAATATCTTTTGGCTAATTTCTCTGTGTCAATAAAGCAGGCGACAGTAGGTATATTTTTTGAAAAACCTCATGCTGACCACAAACACACACACAAACACGCGCGCGCACACGCACACACATATTTTGTTGTTTTTTTTCTCTTTTTAAATTTATATTTCTCTTGAAATATATTTCTCATGAGTACATACTTTCCAATGATTCTTTTTTCGGTGGTGGAGGCCTGGTGGCTGTAGCACAGGGAAACCTATTGTCACCAGTCTCTACAACTAGCATTTGTAAGTTACTTAAAATTTTAGATTATAAGAATTGAGAAAAATAAAGATTATATTTTATTATTGAGTAATAAGGGCTGCTTTCATTCTCTCTTTGTTTACCTTCTCAAAAACACCGGCCGCGGCGAAGGCTGCTTATGTCAAAGACCGAATCAATACAGCGGTGATATCATTTAATAACATACTTTATGCTTAGTTGTAATAAGGTATATTTTACTTTTTATTAGTCCATTTGACAACGCGTTTACAAAGGATATTGGGTTGGATACCTATTGGAATCTTTTTTATTAATATACAAGGTGTAAGTGTAAACACCGTTGTCACTAAAACCATAGGTAGTTGGCTTTGATATAAAAATATTTATTCGAATTAAAAAAAACGCTATTTTCTATCATAAATTTAAAAAGTTTCTGTCCGACACCGTCCGTAAATTCATGGATACCATATGCGCCCGAGTGACGTAATCACTGTAAACATCACCGCGCGCGCTAGCTACCTACACAACATTCCAATAAAAACACAATAGGTACATATAACCTGTGGTTTAACTTTTCCTTCATACTTTCATGCTGGCTCAGGACAGGCAAAAATTGAGGAATTAAGAAAAAATTGAGATTTGACTAAAAAAAAAATGTTGTTATTTTTCATTGAATTTACGTTCTATAAGTGAAACCAAACCACTGGTTTCAAGGATAACGGAATTCACAATAACAGGGGGCCTATATATGTATTGATATACCGATTAGATCCGCGAATAAAGAAATCTTTAGCCGCGAATATAGGAATTGGGTCGCATTTTTTTAATCTGCGAATAGTGAAAACGCGAATGAAGGAAGCGCGAATAAGGAGCTTTTACTGTACTTGTAAATGTGTTTTTTCTTGTAGTAATAAAAATTATCTTGTTCAATAAAAATGTTCAATAAAACCCAAAATCATTTTATTTACAATTACGTGAGAACCCCTAGCATATTAAATATTTTCACGAGCGTCATGTTATGTTGCATGTCTTTGCATTTCTATCGTATTTACCACGTGAAATGCTCAGGAATTGTCCGGATTAATTCCAGCCGCAAAATTTCATCAACGCATGTCGCGACAAAACTTGCTTGGCAGTTCACTGCTGTACGTTTTACTGGCAACGCACCTGCAATTCTCGTCGTGTTGGAGTTGTTCATGGGTGACGGTCGACACTTTTCATCAGGTGAGCCGCATGCTCGTTTGCCACCTCTGCTAAAAAAATCAGCTGCCATCAAAGGCATTTCTAATCTGTATATTGTTTTAACCCTTCACGCGCCATAAAAATCCCATGCAGTCGCATGCGCATGGCGAATCCCGAGCGGTCGTATGCGACCGCACCCACACACAGCACTTAAAACCATTAAAACTTATATTTAGAGACTACTTTTCTATGAAGAAGTATAGCATTATAAAATCTATACAAAATTCTCTATCTTGTGGTCTAAACAAAAGTCAGGTTTTACTTCATTACAAAAAGATTTTATTGTATTTTGATAACAAAAAAAAACATACCAAGCGAATATCGGCAGCGTGAAAATCACAATTATTTCAATAATATTACTCGAATAAAGTACATTCACACAAAAATTGTCATTACAATTTTATAATAAAACACTATACTAAAACACTAATAAAACACTAGAAAAATACAGAAATCAACACAATAACATTCGCGCGAGAATGGCGTACGAAATAAAAAAAAGATATTGATTATATAATGCCAAACTTCTTCATAGAAAAAGTAGTCTACATGTAAAAGTTTTTATGTGTTAAAGTGCTGTGGGTGGGTGCGACCTCCTGAGACCGCTAGGGATTTGACGGAATATGACCGCGGTCTCATGAATTTGCTAGGGGGTTGAGAGGGTAAAGCATGAAGGTTAGAGAACAGGAGAACGATCACTACGTACTAAAGCATAGCCCGCCTGTCCTTGAAAATTGTAGAATGTATAGCGGCGCTGACGTCGGTGAGTAGTGACTGCGAAGTTAGCTGTTTATGAGTACAAGTAGGTGAAGTTAGTTGAATAATGTACAAATTTTCATTTCATTTTTTCGTAGAAAATTTTCATGCTCCGTAATTTTGTAATTTTTGACAAAAAGAAACATTAAAAAATGGAGAAATATTTTATTGTGCGTGAATGTGCGAGTGGTTGAGCATCTGATCGGAAAAATAGACTGAAAATGACTTTTATTGACCGAACTTAGCGATCGCAGCGCCTCACTTATGGTGTCCATATTTCTGGGACACTATTTTCTACGGCGATCGTTCTCCTGTTCTCTAACCTTCATGGGGTAAAGTGTGGTAACATTGAATAAATAAAAATATATTTCTTTTTCAATTTTCTACTCAAATAAAACGGCATAATATTGATTGATCATTGAGTATATTTTAAGAATTATTATTTTAAGAATTACACAATAAGCTTAATAAATGCTTCATGATTAGCGCTCCATCTGCTATACATCCCTGATGGGGGCTTCCTGCTCTTCTTCCTCTTCATCGAAGTCCCCCTCTTCGTCGTCCACTTGAGCGTCCTGGTGAAAAAAATACAAAGTAGTTTATATGTGGTATTGTCACGTGTATATATATAGATACAAAATCCACGAACGCAAAGACTTTAACGTGCTTGAAATAAAGTTCATTTTTCTTTATTTTTATTGAATGACAGAATTAGTAATAATACAAATAAATCTGCACTCTTAAAAGTCTTATTGCCTTAAGTTACGGTCCATTTCAGTTTGTTTTGATATAAATATAGCACGTGGGGGTAATATGGTCATACGATTAATATGATCACTTGTATCGCTTGTCTTGTGACTCAAAAAGCTTTGTTTGAATAGATGACCATCAAATATTAAGGGGTCAAGGACTCTGCCGCATCGACGCCATTTTGAGAGTTGACATTATAGTAAATATTTTCGTCGATTTTAGTATGGCGTTGTGTAGTTACGAAATGCGTGACTTAAATGATTCTTCGCAATTTCATAGGGAGAAATTTAACGAAGTAGTCGAATGTATTTACGCTTTCAAGCAGACAATAAAAGCCCTTGAAAGGAAAAATTTGGAACTAACTAACAAGAATATTAATTTAGAAACCCGTGTCGAGTGTTATTTAGGTTGATTTTTCGAAGTGTTCCATTATTGTAGTATACGACTTTGTACTTTTGTCAGTGTCTCCGTCCCAGGTTTGGTTTTATAGGGCGGTAAAGTTGACCATACATAAAAAGGAATAGGCTAGCTGATAGTTATAATAATATATACAGAGACTGCCTCGTTGGTCTAGTGGTTATAGTAGTGCGACTGCTGATCACGAGGTCCTGGGTTCGAACCCCGGGTCGGGCCAAAAAATCAATTATTGAGTTTTTCCGTTAAGAAATTCTCGGTAGCTGTCCGGAGTCAGGAAGTTGGCGGTATCTCACCCCCGTGCCTCGGAAAGAACGTAAAGCCGTTGGTCCTGCGCCTGATCTCTCTCAGGTCGTGTCGGTTTACCGCCCCGTCGGATTATGAAAGTGAGCGAATAGAGAGTGCACCTGTGCTTGCGCATACACTTGGGCACTATAATCCTGTCCTGCGCCGATGGCTAGCCTCCGTTGAGGCAGGCCGCCGTAGCCGAAATTTGGTCTGGAGGACATTATTATTAATCTGCTTATTTTTCATTTTATTGTCACGTACCTGGTACTGCTGGTACTCGGAGATCAGGTCGCTCATGTTGCTGGCAGCCTCTGTAAACTCCATCTCGTCCATACCCTCACCAGTGTACCAGTGAAGGAAAGCCTGGAATGGAATTAACGTTCGTTTTCAAATAAAATGTCGGAATGTGCGTTTAATCTGTCAATTTTCATAACGGAACAAAGTTGGTCTTATTCCAAAAAATATTTTAATACAGGTTAAACCAAGACTAAAAGATTCAGGTTTGTTACAGTATAAACGTTAATCTAATAAAACGACCGCGTTGTGATACAACAGACAACTATATTTTAACAGACATGACACAGATAATAAAGCAAAGAGTATAACACAGATAATGTAGAAAAGAGTTTACAAATTATAACAACAGAGGTCACTACATTGTATATGAATGATTATTTTAGATATATTTTAACAGTTAATACCAGAATCAAAAGGTGTGCTTATTACAAAACGCAGACTATTTGAGGACCCGTTAGTACCAAAGTTAGTACTGGTTTAAATAACATCCACAGATAAAAAACAAAAAATGATACTGTTTCAATTGTTCATACGGGATTCATTCGAAGCGACGTTCTGTTACTATAAACATTAATGTAACTATCACGCTTGATATGCTTAAATTCTTTAACAATACAAATATATATAGTGCATTGGGGTAAGATCGGTGATGGGGTAAGACCGTAAAATTCGAATTCCCGGAGAATTATGCTATATTTTTGAAATCTAGCAATATGGTACAAGACTCCATTTTATTCTGCCCTGACCCCACGTTTCAGCCAGTCGCTCCGAGAAGTAGGGCTTGTGCTACGCAATATTTTATAAAACAAGGTGATTTTTTTATTTTTTTCGTCCGTCCGGTTTTTCCCTATCACTTTTATTTGCGATTTTTAGCGACATCCGGTCTTTCAGCTTGATGGCCAATTCTTCATCATGCATATAAAAAATTATGCCTTGTCTTCGCACACGTTTTAAGCAGAAACTGTTGAGTTTTGAAAAGCAAAGGCTTCTTATAGCTAAATTACGTGTAACCATTAACGATTTGCGCCATGTTTCAGAAATCTGACTTATATGGATGTCGAGAAAATAACATTTTTGCCCGACTCTTTCAACTAGTCGAAAATCGTCCGGTATTACCCCAACGCTTATCATAAATTGTTATTTGTTAAGGTTGAAATCTGTTTAACAAGCACAACTTATATTTAAGACGCGTTTTTTATAATTAAAGTTATTTTCATTTTAACAAAAATTACCAAAAAATAATTACAAAAATTAAAAAATAAAAATGTTTATGTTGCGCCCATAGAATAAATCAATGTTCTTGTTATTTTAATTCAATGTTCTATACTAAGTATAGTGGTGTTGCAGTCAGTTAGGTTTTGTTCGGGAGATTGTGTGTCTGGTTAAATAGTAATCTACCTATATAAAAATTAAATTTAAAAAAAAACGGAGTCCTAAAGAAAAAGTTAGTGGAACATTGAAATTTATTTTATTAGTAATAACGCTTTGTATCATCCTTATTTTGATTAAAGTGAATATTCTTATTAATATAGGAAATATTACGCACGGTTATTGATTCATCAGCACATATTATAGAGGTGATAGAAAACGTCAGTAAATGTGCCGAAAATAAAAAAGTAAGTACTTAATGATTTTATGTGTATACGATAGATATTTATATCTTTTTTTAATAGGATAGGGTGACAAACGAGCACACAGTCCACGTGATAGTAAGTGGTTGCTGTAGCCCGTAGACATCTACATCTATCTTCGATTACGAATGAAAGTGCAGATGCGTTGTCACCCGTGAGGACTAAGATGGAATGCCTCATTTCCATTAAAAAGGGCCTCCGGTTCTCTACACTCGCCATACGAAACACAGTAGCATCAAGCTTCCATTTCACGCTGGTATTCTGTGAGAGCGTGGTCCTTCCCCGGTCGAGTCGACCCACTCGTGCTACAACTATACTACTAATATAACTGCAGCATGGCTCTTCCACGTACAAATTAAATTATCTTACAAATTCGTCAAGACAATCATGTTAATATCCATTTTTAACGATTTAAAAAACACGAAATAATAGCAACGCTAACCACCTCAATTAAAGTTTTATCGAAATTGATATTAATACCATAGTTAAACTAGGGGTCTCGGAAGTTGACTTACTCAAGAGATAATATTTCGTGTAATAACGTTTTATTCAGTTCAGCTTTAAACAGTAACGACTTACCCAAAACATTAACCAACGTTGTGACTGAGTTGAAGTTATGGGTATGTTCCGAAATACAACCCAGTACACTGGCGAATGCGAATGACGTCATTAATTGACGCCGTATTCCACCACATTCGATACAACGAGTCACCAATATGGCGTCGTTTTACGACGTCATTTGCATTGGCCAGTGTACTGGGTTGTATTTCGGAACATACCCAATTTGTTACAAAATGTCATTTAATTGAGAAGTTAGGGTAGTTTTGGCGGGAACTTGGCCGTAGACGGATTGTCACTCCTGTTTTGTCGCTTGAATAGTGGTTTTAAATGGATTTTGATTCGTAAAAGTGATGCGATTTTGTGAATTAGTGTCCGCACGTGTGAACTATTAGAGAAAACGACGAAACAAGTGCTTTGATGTTGATATAAACCTCAAGTTATTTTGATCGCTTGGGCACCTTATGAACTTGAGTGGCTGTCGTCCGCTGGGTTGAGCTGTCGTCAAAATCTCCCAAGGGCTTGGCAATGTGACGCATTAGCATATTGTCAAGAAAAAATATAAAAATGAAGATTCTGAAAGAAATGATAGGCTCAGAAGGGCTAGAACCCAGAGCCGTAAACCCAGTTAAATAAATAAAAAATAAAGGGAAACAGTAGAGTCGCGCATGCGCAGTTGATATCAACGCGCGAAAATTGTCATAATAAATAATTGTTTATTTAGATTGTATCGTTAATCGAGTACATTTTTTAATTTTCGTTTATATTGCATAATATGTACTAATTTAATATAAAATTATTATTTGCGCCGCTCCGCACTACATGAATATCGAAGCCACAATAACAGGTGTACGGATTGCAGTACAGTTCAGTTGAACATAGTGAGTGTTCGGAATGCCATATCTAGTGCGTAGTACATATATATCGATGCGTTAAGCATATAACACCCCTCTGTTTACGTCGGGGGTTAATAAAAAAAAAAACAACATAGCAAAATGCCATCTGTTTAAACTTACCCGTCTCCTAAACATGGCGGTGAACTGCTCCGAGATGCGCTTGAAGACCTCCTGTATAGCAGTCGTGTTGCCGATGAATGTGGCGGACATTTTGAGACCTCTCGGTGGGACGTCGCAAACTGACACCTTCAGATTGTTGGGGATCCATTCCACGAAATAGCTGGGTACAGATACATATATTCATTTTTGGTGTTCCGCGGTCATACAAAATGCCAGCGTAAAATAACAGCATAAGGTAAGGTAAAGTAAACAATAAAGGTACGTGAGTGTAATATGATCACCTTAAGCTTTGCCGCCCTATAAAATTAAAACTAACCGAAGGACCGAGACAAAAACACAAATTCGAATACTTTAACTAATATATTAAGAAAAAAAATAGCAAAGAAGCCTTGGCAATAATTAGGAACACTTCGAATAATCTACTTAAAAAAACTAACTACACTACACCACACTAAAATCGACTAATATATTTACCATAATGTCAACTGTCAAAATGGCGTCGATAAAGCATCGCCCTTTTGACCCTTTATTATTTCATTGAACGATCACACATACCAGTGTTATCTATGCAAACAAGGCTGTAGTTTTTGAGTTATAATAAAGTGACCATATTAGCCGAATGACCATATTACCCTCACATACTATATTTCGTTTTTTTTATAGTATAGGGTGACAAACGAGCACACAGTCCACCTGATGGTAAGTGGATGCTGTGGGCCCATAGACATCTACATTTATCCTCGATTACGAATCAAAATGCAGATGCGTTGTCACCCGTGAGGACTAAAATGGAATGCCTCATTTCCAGTAAAACGTGTCTCCGGTTCTCTACACTCACCATACGTCACACATTATTTCAGCATTATTAAGCTGCTATTTTACGCTGGTATTCTGTGAGAGCGTGGTCCCGCCCCGGTCGATCCGACCTATTAGTACTACAACCATAATATAGCTGCAGCGTGGCTCTACCACGAAAGAATTCTTCAAGGCAAGAAACGAACAGGCTTTTGCTATGCTAAGACAGTGATTTACCATCTCGTCTACCATCATCTCTCTACCATCAGGTGGGATTGTGATCAAGCAATGGTTTATAATAACTAGGAAAGCGTACCTGGAGTTCTTGTTCTGTATCGCGAGCACCTGGTCGTCGACCTCACGCATGGACATGCGGCCTCTGAACATGGTGGCCACCGTCAGGTAGCGCCCGTGACGAGGGTCGCAGGCAGTCATCATGTTGCCCGGGTTGAACATCTGGAAAGATTTATGTTAGGTAGATTGTAAGTCAATGATTGATTAGTAAATACCTGGTCTTGGAGTACTATATATACAGGATGTTAGTGCAAACACCGTTATCCTTGTAACCAGTGGTTTGGTTTTTTTAAATTCGGATAAATATTTTTATATTAAAGCCTACTATCTATTGTTTAGTGACAACGGTGTTCACACTTACACCTTATATATATACAGGATGTTAGTGCAAACACCGATCCCCTGTAAAAGCAATTTGACAAATACACTTATATATATACAGGATGTTAGTGCAAACACCGTTATCCTTGTAACCAGTGGTTTGGTTTTTTTAATTGGGATAAATATTTTTATATTAAAGCCAACTACCTATAGTTTAGTGACAACGGTGTTTACACTTATATATATATATATATATATATAAATATGTATATATTCAAACATATATATAAAAAAAAATGCACAGTCTACTCGCTCAGGTATGGGTCCGCACAAGCTAGCGCTTAAGGATATACCTTAATCAAAAATATGGCTCTAGCTGTCTTACCATGTGTGTCCGAATATATAGCAAACCCCCTGACGGACTTAAAATTTTAAATATTACATTGATTAAAAAGAAATTGTGCAAACGGCTCAATGAAAATAATTTCTATAGAGTAAAACATAAGTCTATTAAAAATGTAAAAATTGTTAATAAGTATTGTTTATAATATTTTTCATTTTATAAGTTATGCGACTTTTTACTACTTAAATTGACGATGCTCAGAATTGACATTTAACTAATTATGATTACATTTTTTGCTATGTTTTATTTTAACTGAATCATGTGACTTTTTGTAATTCAAATACCTAAGGAAAAATTCAACTTTGTTTAAAAAAATTACATGTTAACAACATTTACACTATAGTTACAGTCTATATACGTCCCACAGTAGGCTGAGAAAGTGTTCACCGCGCTGACCCAAAGCGTGTTAGCGAACTTCACATGTCTTTGAAATATTATTTTTCTTATTTCTTAGACATGCCGGTTTCCTCACGATGTTTTCCTTCACCGTCAAACAAGTGGTAAGTCAGCACTTAAAATAGCAATAAACAATTTCGTTCGTGCCGGCGGGGATCAAACCCGGTTTGGTCGCGTACTGTGAAGCAAGCGCTAATCATCTGAGCTACTACGGCGTATTTTTATTATTATTATTATTATAGATTATAGAAGTGGTGATGAGCCCTAGATGCTGCATCGCCTTACATATACATACAATTTCTGTTCTGCGCTCTTGGCATCTCATAAATATTTGATGACTATGATGACGATGATGATGATGATGTGGTGGTGGTGGTCGTGGTGGTGTTGTTGGAGATGATAAATAAAAATCAGTTATATATGGCGCTTAAACTTACTTGACTCATAAGCTCCGGAACAGTCTGAGCGCGAAAGTCAAACGCATTTCGGGCAGTCAATGGTGCGAAACCTAAGAATAAAATTATTTCATATTAATTAGTTTATACTTTATACCATATTGTGGTAAAAAGGTAGGCATAGCCAACTCGTTTACGTAATATATGGTGGTATGGTGTTTAGTATGGTGAGTGTAGAGAACCGGAGAATCTTACTGAAAACGAGACATTTCATCTTATTCCCCAGGGGTGACAACGCATCTGCATTTTGTTTCTTAATCGAGATAAAATGTAGATGTCTATGGACTACAGCATTATTCTGCAAAAACAATCCAGACCAGCGCAACAGCAGCGTCATCGGTGCTCATGACTGGTACTACCAGCATACCGCTCGCCAAGTGTAACTAAGGCAAATCTCCACAAAGGGGGAAGATCAGTGACCCAGGAGTGAACTTTTATGGGTTGAATGTTCCTTGTAGCTTGTACCTTTTTGCAGACAATATATAACCGATACCGACGAATATATGTACAACAATATACTCCTCGGCTTTACCTGGATACAATCTTAAATGATATTAATGTAATGTTATTGAGATTTTAAATAATCCTTGACCATTAAAAAAAAGAGGAGGAAAAAGAAGACCTTCCTCCACGAGCTTCCTCCATTGTTTTACTAGATTTTTTTATTTTTTTAGAAATAATATTTTTTATCATTTATTTTACTCTCCCTCTCTCTCTGTGGAGGCTGTCACTCGAGAACCTTTTTTCCTCGAGAAGGTATCAGTAGGCGAAGTGTTGGTCCTTTCTCTCCGAGAGCGAGAGAGAAAGAGAGAGATAGAAAGAGATAGAGAGAGAGTACCGTTCGCCAAGCGTAACGATTAAGGCAAATCTCCACAAAGGGGAAGCTCATTAACCAAGAGTGAACTTTTATGGGTTGAAGGTTCCTTGTACCTTCTAGTAAACAATATACAACCAAAGAACATATTTTTTAAATTTTATTTGGAAGCTATCTTCCCGCCTCCGCTTTACCTGGATAGGGTCTTATGGGTATGATATAAATGTAATGTTATTTAGATTTTAAATAATCCTGCACAATTTGACGGCTCCGCAGCGCAGTAGCTTAGCAATTAGTTATAGCGCTGGGGACCGCGGGTTCGAATACCGCACGGAACAAGTATTTTTATGGCTTACAAGTAATTGTTCCGGGTCTGGATGTTAGTCCTTGTGCAATTAATGTACGTAAACTGCTTCCACGAGACATGAGAACATCCAAGTATGGGGGCAACATTTTCAAAAAAAAATTATTCGGTAACTTTGAGTTTTCTTTTTAAATATCTTCAAGTTATTTGGATAAAATATAACCTGGGACACTCCCAGTTCGTAAAGTCACATCGCAATTGTTTCAGCCATTCATAAGATTAGCCCAGACATTCATTACGTGGTAGAGCCACGCTACAGCTATATTATAGTTGTAGCTCGAATGGGTCGGCTCGACCGGGGAAGTACTACGCTCTTACAGAACACCAGCGTAAAATAGCAGCTTAAAGCTGCTGTGTTTCGTAGTGTAGAGAACCGGAGACCCTTTTTTACTGGAAAAGAGGCATTCCATCTTAGTCCTCACGAGTGACAACTCATCTGCATTTTGATTCTTAATCGAGAATAGATGTAGATGTGTGGGCCGCAACAACCACTTACCATCAGGTGGACTGTGTGCTCGTTTGTCACCTAATGCTATAAAAAAGACAGACGGACAGTTGCAAATAATCACCTGAGATAAATAGAAATCAGATATTTCAATATTGTATACAAACACTTCAATTGTTTTATTATGTGTAGATAACAATAGCCTTAAATAAAACATTTAAATAAATCAAGAAAACACCCAATTATAGTATACAAGCCATTAATAGTATAATTAGGTAAGTTCCAAATTTAAAATTAATTTCGGAGTAAATACATATGCAAGTATTTTATGCAGCAAAGTAAGCGACGCGTGTATTAAGTGACGTACATATGTAAGTAGTGGTGGTGTAAGAATCCACTACACCATATCATCCCGTGGGTGACGTAAGAGACAGAGGGATACTGAACAAGGAAATAAACAGCAGCGTTTTCTTAACAAGTAGTAAAATTAAAAAAAAATTATATAACCGACATCAATAAAATTAAAATGAGAATATCATCATTGTATTCGAAATTAATCAAACACGCATCATTAAGGATAACTCAAAAACTACTGGTCACATCTTGATCAGCTTTCAAATAAAAAAAGAATCATCAAAATCGGTTCACCCAGTGAAAAGTTCTGAGGTAACGCACATAAGAAAACATACAATCGTATTGAATACGTCCTCATTTTTGAAGTCGGTAAATTACGACTAAAAAAATAATAATACCGCAGTTGCCGTGTGGCCACTATGGCCAATATCCCCCATATGAAGTAGTCTATGGCGAGATATATTCTCAGCAGTGGACTTACCACTATAACGTATGTACTTGTATTTGTGTGTGTGTGCGTGTGTACGTATGTGTACACTTATTTAAAGAAATCAGGAATATGATACGTTAGTAGGAATCTGTATATTTATATCGGTGTCACCTGGCATGAAGAAGTGTAGACGCGGGAAAGGCACCATATTGACAGCAAGCTTCCTCAAGTCAGCGTTCAGCTGGCCGGGGAAGCGCAAGCATGTTGTAACCCCTGACATAGTGAGCTGGAAAAAACAGATTTGTCCTCTTAAGCCGCTCTTTTTAGTTAACTAGGAGAAAGTATTTATTAGTTTGTTAGGTCTGTGTTTACAACCCCCCCGAACGGGTTCCCGCCTTGTCGTGGCGGGGGCTTAGAAGCCGTGGCTTGGTCACCCACGGCGAAACAAAGAGGAACCCATATGGCTGGTCCGAGGTGGAGGGCCGGCCCGAGGTGGCCACTCCGAGTGGGCTTGGGAAGCCCACTTCGGATGTGTGTTGGTGGACTGCGGTGAGAGGTGTGTCCTCCCCACCTACCGCTGCAGCCGAGGTGGAGTCGCGGAGGAAGAGGAGTGTTGGTATGGCGATGCGCCACTCTCCCTATCCTCCGCGACTCAAACGGGGCCGCACCGTTGATGCGGTGGTGATGGGGCTGCGGGGGAGAGGATTGTCGGTATTGCGAGGCGCCGCTCTCCCTATCCTCCGCAGCCGAATCTTGGTTGGCGGCGGAGCCATAGACCAGATCCGCCGCTGGGGTCGGGAAGGCTAGTACTTCTAAGTGCTCGTTTTTCCTGGCCCCATGGCCTTCGCGCATCGGACGCGGGGGGCGTCTGTTGCGCAGATGTAATTGGAGGCCGTGGAGGAAGGCGTGCCATGTGTTCTGGTGCGCCTTACTTTGGAAAGGAGAACGGGGAGGAATATTCCTCTCCCGATGAGGTGCTGCCATGGGGCGGCAGTCGCTGGTGGGGCCGCGGATGTGTGCGAAAGTGTTCCCGTAGCCCTGCCAATATGCGACGAAGGTGGAACACCATGGGGTTTTAGTCGGTGCGAGTCCGACATAACCCGTCCTTGCCCCCGCGAGGCGGGTATGCGTAGGCATTTCCCCATGTTAAAAAAAAAAAAGGTCTGTGTTTACAAGGTAATAAAGCCTTAGGCGGGCTATGGAATGTATATTCTTCTATTCCCTCAGACCTAAACCTCTCGTTGTATTTTGACAAATAAGACATCGTTGTATGCGCCATTTGGCAAGTAATAGGCCATTTGACATTACAGAAAATCCAAGATGGCGGCTTACTGCAGATATAAACAGCTACAAAAAATTTAATTCATATATTTATTAAAGAGAGCCGTGGTAGCTTAGAGGCTAAGCACTCGGCTAAGTACTCGCTGTATATATCACAGTACGCGAACAACCCGGGTCCGATCCCCGTCGGCACCAATGAAATTGTTAATTGCAATATTTTACCACGTGCTCGGCGGTGAAGGAAAACACCGTGAGGCATGAGGGGAAGTTCGCCAACACGCATTAAGGCAGCGCGGCGGACACTTCCTTGCCAAACCATCCAAAATGAGAGCACGCCTGTGCCCACAGAAATCTAAATAATATTGCCTTATTAACAGGGGGGCACATATAATAAATTCAAAAAAATAATTTTCTTTTACTAAACGTACATCAACCATTTAAAACATTGTACAAAGGGAAGACATAGAAAACACTATCTACACTGTATTCTATTTAATTCTCTCACAGTCTAAATCTTATAGATATATATTTTTGTCTCTTTTCAGTGTAGCTTTTTCGTTTCATCGAATTTCAAAACACAATGATTATAAAGAAGCTTCCACTTCAATAAATAATATTTACCGATATCAAGTGGTTGAGGTCTCCATAGCTGGGGCTGCTGAGTCTGAGGGTCCTGAAGCAGATGTTGTAGAGAGCTTCGTTGTCGATGCAGAACGTCATGTCCGTGTTCTCCACCAGCTGGTGAACGGACAGCGTTGCGTTGTACGGCTCCAGGACCACCTCGCTCACCTGCTCGTTGAAATGAAAAGCATTTAGGAACATAAACTCTTTTTTTTATAGAATAAGAGCGACAATCGAACACACAGTCCACCTGATGGTAAGAAGATATCGTGGATCATATACATCTAAATATATCCTCGGTTAAGAATCAAAATGCAGATGCGTTGTCATCCCTGAGAACTAAGATGGAATGCTTCATTTCCCATAAAAGAGGGTCTCCATTTCTCTACACTTATCATACGTAACACAACTGCATTAAGCTGCTATTTCACGTTAGTATTCTGCGAAATCGTGGTTCTTCGAGCTGACACGTGTCAACTATAATATAGTTGTAGCAAAATTCTACCACATAAAAAGTTCTATAAGTTCAACGTCTGAAGTGATACCAGCTTTTGACGAACTGGAAATATAACCATATTATATAAATAAAATTAGTGTATCTGTCTACAATAACAACCGTCTTATATTCAGCTGAAGGGATTTTTAATGCCATTAAGACCTTGTCGAAGAGCCTGTTAAAGTTGTAGTAGCAAAAACATGTGTGCACTTCAAAGTGACATTCATCAGCAACAGGACAAAGTTACGTAAAATTAAAATATTTAGTTTACTATAGTTTATAAAACATCATCATCATCATCACAGCCCTTCACAAGTCCACTGCTGAACATACGCCTCCCCCAAGTAATGCCACAAAGCAGCTTCTTGATGACATCTGAATTGAAAAAAGAAAACAATTTCCAACCCAAATACCAAGCGTACCAACTACGGCAAATATATTCCCTGTGACGCAAACTATGGGGAGGCCATGTTCAACAGTCAACAGTGGACTTTTGACGGATTGGCAATCGCAGTTTTTTTTTAATATTTTGACTTGTTATCAGGAAAATGCTCGTGGCAATCTTATATTTCAGTTTTCATGTCACCTCTTACTACACCTACGGGATTATAAGGTCTTATCATTACAGTGTTAAAACAATGGAATTTCCAACGACATAACTTAAGTATTACATAAGAGGATTGTGGAGCTGTAAATACAAAAAGCGATAATGTTTTCCCTCCCGTAAACATAGTCCAATTTTCATAATTTTTGGAAATGTTGTAGATATAATAGTAGATGTAGATAAAACTATATAGGTCTGTACGTTTTTATTTTAAGGAAATATTGTGTACGATATAAGTTATTAGCATCTAAATTTCTATATTTTTGACTTAAAAACTTCCTCGACCGTTTTTATTTAAACTAAACTGAATTACTAAAAAAGAAGAATTAAGGTATACTGCATTTAATGAGACCAAAATTGTCTCATTTCGTCAAGGTTTTAGGGGGGGGGGTGAAAACGTTATCGCTCGAAACAATATTTTAAAAAGAAAATGTAGGCAATTACTTCCAACATTTGCAACTCTCTCTCTCTCTATGGAATGACGGCGATACGGAGCGAGCGATCTAAAACGGATAGCATTTTTGAAAGTACCTACTCGCGCCGCGTATAGGCATTTCACAATCCTCTTAAATTACAACATGAATTATAACAATGGTAAAATAGCAGCTTAATACTGCTGTGTTTCGTATGGTGACTGTAGAGATCCGGAAACCTTTTTTTACTGGAAACGAGGCATTCCATAGCTCTCAGAGGTGACAACGCATCTGCGTTTTGATTTTTAATCGAGGATAAATGTAGATGTCTATGGGCCACACCATCCACTTACCATCAGGTGGACTGTGTGCTTGTTGGTCATCCTTATTCTATAAAAAAAACGTCGTCCTAATAACGACTACATATCAAACTGCGGTTGCCGCCCCGCTTCCGAAGCATGACAACTATGACAAATATTCCTCTTTGAAGCCATCTATGTGAGAGGCCTATCTTCAGCAGTGTACATTACTAGTTGGTAATAATAACAACCAGTTATTTTATCACATTTATGTTTTTAGAAAAAAAAACAAGTTTTTAAGTTAAAAATATAACCTAGCACCTGGTATTACTATCTGTTTATGAAGTATCACATTCACTTCAGCCATTACAAAGATTAGCCTTCAAAAACAGACAACAAATGAAAATAAGCACATGAGCTAAATAGAAGCCAGGTATTTCAATATTTTGAAACAGAAACAGAAACAGAAACTTTTTTATTCAATATAGATTATAAACAATACTTATTGAAAGTCAATTTTTTCATTTACCACTGGTTCGCAAAAAACACCTCTGTCCTGGGAAGAACCAGCAAGAAACCCAGCGGGACAATTATTTTTCGAATAATAGCTTACAATCATGTACGTTACAATCACCAACACAAGACAAATTAGAAATAGCTTGGTAGCGATCACCCTTCCCAGGGGTTATTATCATCCATAAATTCCTTAATATTATAATATCCCATTTTATACAAACTTATTTTAATAAAATTTTTGAACTTTGCGTATGACAAATTTTGTATATTTTCTGGGATTTTGTTGTAAAAGCGCATACATCGCCCCAAGTATGAATTACTGACTCGGTGGAGTCGAGTAACTGGTACTACTATTATATAGACAAACAACTAATATTTTTATTATGTATAGATAACAACAGCCTTAAATAAATTATTAAGTACATCAAAAAAAGTCTAATTAGTATGCAAGCCATTAATAGTTATTCGTAAGTTACAAATTTAAAATTAATTTCGGAGTGAATACATAATATTCAAATATCTTACGCAGCAAAGTAAGCGATGCTTATTGTGGCCGTGGTAGGAAAAGGGGAGATCTCCCGCCGGGCAAGGTGTTCTGCCCGGGTAGTGGCCAACACTCCGTGTGATAGTTCGGAGATGTTCTATATATGCTGTCTATGATTCGGAATGTTAATAGCGCGATTTAGGCGTCGGTGTGTTTCGGTGTGCTAGTAGCGCGACGACAGCGCCGCTACATCACCCCCTGCTCAGACCGGAGGTCGATAGTGAAGTCTCGTTGTCGACGAATGTGTAAGTGCCAGGAGATTGCCTTGTAGTCTGTGGTGAGTCGAGAAGAAGGCAAGTAATCTGCGAGAGTGCCGTGAAGCAGAGGCGAGCAGTAAGGCTCAGAGCCGTGCCGAACAACTGTATAGCGCAGAGAGTAGCTTGAAGGAACAGGAAGCACTATTATTCCAGTGCTGCGATGAACCTTGTGAAGCTAGATGGCTTGCAGGATATGAAGACTGCAGTTTATATCTGCTCGGGAGCGAATGGGTGGGGTATTCTATGATGATGATGAAGCTTGAAGTTTCCGAAGGTTGTTTGGTTGCGTGTTCAGATCACGTCGGTTAGTCACCACTGTGGCCATGGAAGGAAAAGGGGAGATCTCCCGCCGGGCAAGGTGTTCTGCCCGGGGAGCGGCCGACACTCCGAGTGATAGTTCGGAGAAGTTCTATATATGCTGTCTATGATTCGGAATGTTAATAGCGCGATTTAGGCTTCGGTGTGTTTCGGTGTGCTAGTGGCGCGACGACAGCGCCGCTACACTTATATTTAAGGACTTAATTGTATTGAAAATCATATATGCTTTTACCACTGATGCAGAAACCTCCGTCCTAGAAAGAACTGGCAAAAAACACATAATTTTAGTATTATTAGTAATCTTACAGGGTGAAATTGAAATCATTAGCATTTTTTTAAAACAAGAATATACTCGTGATACGAACTATGTTAAGATTAAAATAAAGTGCAATTTAAACATGAATACCTAACTACTTTTATTTTCGTCTTCCAATTGCAATGTATCTTCACAAACAGATAGGGAGCAACGCAGTTATGTAAGCTATATTGTTTTACCCGAAAAACTTGGGAGATACTTTTTAAACGGGAAATTGAAAATATAAACGGTCTTTTAAATAAATATTTAGTCTAAAAAAACGCCACATTAGTCGATCCTAATCGAAGGTGAAGCCAGGGCGGGTTGCTTCACTAAATCTCGAACTCTCAAAAGCAATATTTACGAAAGATCGCGACGTCATAATACTTTACTTATTTTTTTACTTTTTTGTCATTAATTTGTGAGAGTTTTCTGGATCTTGGCAACAGCGCCATCTACCGGATCCAACTATAGTTAAGAACTATTCAGGATTCAGGTACCTCACAACCACCCTATAAAACCACCCTTTTAAGAACACATGCACACCATATATTAGGTACATTATTTTTATTGGATGCCAATGACTTTAATATCACCTGTATAATGAATAAACATTATACAATTAAGACTATTCAAATGCTCTGAAAGGTTCTATTTCCATCATGATAAGTAATAAAGTATACCATATACATAAAAAAATTTGATCCGCCATATGTAATTTATAGAGTACCTTGGGTGATGGATAGACGCTGAACGTGGTCATAATCCTGTCGGGATACTCCTCTCGAATTTTGCTGAGGAGTAAAGTGCCCAGACCAGACCCTGTGCCACCACCCAGGGAATGAGTTAATTGGAACCCTGGAAACAATGAAAATATATTGCAAGTTACAGATTGATAAAAATGACATCTACCGGTCACTAGTAAAACATACAACAAGAAAAGACATTTATGTAATTAAGAGCAGTATATTATCGTTAAGAATCAAAATGCAGATGCGTTTTCAGTCCCGAGGACTAAGATGGAATGCGTCGTTTCCGGTAAAAAGGATTGCCGGTTCTCTTCACTGATCATACGAAACACAGCAGCATTTAGCTGATATTTTGCGCTGGTATTCTGTGAAAGCGTGATCCTTCCCCGGTCGAGTTGAACCATTCGTACTACAACCATAATATATTTTCAGCACTTCATTTTAAAAAGACACTGTAGGACCACGTGTCTTTTTTCAATGCCATCTGTCGGCGTCTATAGGAAAGCACTTAGCTGTTCTCTGTTCTTTCTACCAATGCCATCTATCGGTAATTTAAATATTTGCTTTCAGATGTTAATGGAGTTTTGCGATATGTGATGATCTTTTCGTTTATTTTTGGTTTATCAACAGAAATTTCATTATTTATATCGTCCATCGGACCACAAGACGCTCGGCGGGTCTTCATCCCCTTTTTTGTCGACATTCTAGGCATTTGATCCCAACGATTTGATTCGTTTTTCGTCATGCGTGCAGTAAAGGCGTGGAAAAATTTTCCAGTGTCCATAGACTTATTAATACTACTGCGTATGGACTGGGTCATTGAACATACAAAATGGCACCGTCTCTTTGGTGCGAAAATCTTTCTAGAGTAGAGCACCAACGCGAGCACCAATGCGTGCCGTGCCGTGAGTCCGTGCAGTGTATCCGTGCAGTGTTTCCACTTTTAGATATTTTGCATTATTGTAAGGTAAATCTACTAATATAGGTAGGGCTTTAGGCGTTTCTTCAAGTTGACAGGATTTTGGAATAATTTGGGGTAAAACCGAACTCCAGGTAACCCTGTTTTTTATGCCTACCCAATGTATTTTTTTAAAAATTTATCGAATGGGATAGTCTAAAAAGCTAGAAAAGTGTAGAATGAAAAAGTTTTTCATTCTTTATATCGGTTTAATGCTGTGTAATGGTATAATATTTTACTCAGTTACATATTCGTTATTTTAATAGTTATATGAGACAAATTGTTATTATGATTCCAAAATGAGAACGTTTCTTCATCACAAAACTCAAGATTTTTAATCGTGAAATGATATTCATCTCTTGCAATGACGTTGTTCTTTAAAATATTGAAAATTAGGTGCAATAAATAAGGCTATTTTGGTTTATTTTACGATAATTTAGGAAGTATTTCTACAGGTTCTAAGGTAAAACATTTACCATTAAGTGGGATGGTAGTCAAGTACTGGCTTAAGAGTATTTTAAGAAACAACTCATCTGAGCCAAGTACCATTGTAAAGATTTTGAGTATAACGATATTTTTTACATTTACGTGAACGTCACACATTGGATATAACCATTTTTAACGGAATTCATTGCTTTTAACATCACTTGCTGTGTTTCGTATGGTGAGTGTAGATAAACGGAGGCCTATTATTACTTTAAGTATTACATTCCACATATGTACTCAAGGGTGACAACGCATCTGCATTTTGAAGACAGATGTAAGTGTCTAGGGGCCCAAAAAATCCACTTACCATCAGGTGGACCGAGTGCTCGTTTGTCACCCCCATTAAAATATAGCTACAGTAGTTAGATTACCTTACTACTTAATTTCATGGCCTAATTATCTATAGGCATAATACGTTCCCAAGCTTTGTATCAAACATAGGTCACACGTATGCTTTTGCATCCATTATTAACACAATCAAGATACAGGATTATAGTGCACAAGTGTATGCGCAAGCACAGGTGTGGTACTCTGTATTCCAACGACCTCACGAGATCAGGCGCTTTCCCTGGTACGATGTCTTCTGCAAGGGCTTCTTAGGCCCTGCAGGTCTCGGGCCTCGGGGTATGCCCCATTGCACGGATTGTCCTCATGGCCCACTACTATGGGCCGGTCCTGGGAGCCTCATTTAGGCGTTACTGGGTTGAACGGTTATTTTCCGTGGTCGGTAAAAATATCCCGTAGTCGGTTAAATTATAACAAATGTGAGTTATCTGTTTAAGAAGTCGAAGTAGGCCTTTCTGCGGTGTTGTGGGTTTGACTCGACTCTCTAATCTGTATAGAGAGGAGCGTTCCCTGGTTTTGCGGTAGTTCATTGGCGGCGATAGTCACTGACCATCAGTTGAGCCGCATGCTCGTTTGGCCCCTCTTCTATAAAAAAGATGACCAAGGGCGTTACGTGCTTTTCGAGGCACGGGGGTGAGACACCGCCAACTTCCTGACTCCGGGCAGTTATTGAGGAACTTCTTGACGAAAAACTCAATAACTGATTTTTTTGGCCCGACCCGGGATTCAAACCCGGGACCTCATGGTAAGCTGTCGCGTTTACAACCACTGGACCAATGAGGCAGTCATAAATAAGCCCAGCTTGTTAATAATGCATTAGAACCTACCTTGCAAGCAATCGCAACCCTCAGCCTCCTTCCTGACGACGTCCAACACCGAATCCACCAGCTCGGCTCCTTCCGTGTAGTGACCCTTAGCCCAGTTGTTACCTAAAAACAAAGCAGAGGAAATTATTTGATACAGTTATAACTTTTTAAGGTTCCGTACCCAAAGGGTAACCAACGGGACCCTATTACTAAGTCTCCGCTGTCCGTACGTCCGTCCTTCCATCCGTCCGTATTTTTTTTTAAATAGAATAAGGATGACAAATGAGCACACAGTCCATCTGATGGTATGTGGATGCTGTGGCCCACAGACATCTACATCTATCCTCGATTACAAATCAAAATGCATATGTGTTATCACCCATGAGGACTAAGATGGAATGCCTCGTTTCCAGTAAAAAGGGTCTCCTGTTCCCTACACTCACCATACGAAACACAGTAGCATTAAGCTACTATTTTACGCTGGTATTCTGTGAGAGCGTGATCCTTCCCAGGTCGAGCCGACCCATTCGTGCTACAGCTATACTACTAATATAACTGCAGCATGGCTCTACCACGTACAAACAGCCTTCATACATCCCTCTGCAGGGCACAGGTTTATTTTCAGGTAAGTGGATGCTGTGACCCATAGACATCTACATTTATCCTTGATTAAGAATTGCATTGTCACCTCTGAGAACAAAGATAAAATGCTTCATTCCCATTAAAAAAGGGTCCACGGATCTATACACTCACCATACGAAATACAGCAGTATTAAGCTGCTATATTCACGAGACTGTGTGCTCGTTTGTCACCCTTATTGTTTAAAAAAACTGAGGTTGTCGATCTGCTAGCCAATATCCATCCTACGAGGCGTTCTGGACTTTTGATAGGTTTACATAATGATTTCTTATATTTACGCGAACACTACACACTGATTAAAACTACTTTTACGGATTTTATGGCGTTTATTTTACTTTTAATTATTTTTATTTTTAATTCCCGACGTTTCGGGTGCTTTCCAGCACCCATGGTCACGGGGGACTGAGGTAACTGACGTCCCGATGTCATTGTTAAACCCGGAGTACCTTCAGCTTTTTTAATTATTGTTTATGGTCCGATCAATGCAAAATGAACTGATTATGTCCTGAGGTCTTGCAGTGGTATGCTTGGGTTTAGTTTTAATTTTATTGATGACCCAAGCAGGTGGCAGTACCCACCCTCCTTCTCTATTTAAATTAGGATGTTTTTTTAATTTCAATAGCCTCACGTATCATCCTTGGTAGGAATCGGTGTTCTTTCGCGAGGATTTGTGGTCTATCAAATCTGATGTAATGGTTGGGTCCGTCTAGGATTTGATCACAAACTGCAGACTTCCCGTAACGTTGATTCTTCACATCAGCTATATGTTCCTTTACGCGGGTTCTAATTAATCTTTTTGTTTGTCCTATATAAGATAAAAATAAAAATAATAAAAAAAATAATAATTAAAATTAATATCAAACGCGATAAAATCCGTAAAAGTAGTTTTGATAGGTTGTTAAACTATATTCAAGGTTGAACTAATAAACTGTGAATTTGTTTATATGAAGTAACCTTTTCAATTTACAATCTTTTAATTTGACCTTGAACATTGGTTCATAGAATTTGAACGATAATTAATCGATTAAGAAAATAATCGCTCATCAGTATTCATAATTAGCTTCTGCCACTCTGGGTGAGACGTGAGGTAAGGGTGGATGAGCAATGGTAGATCAAGCGTTAAGTGCTCGCTGTAAACTACGTGAGCAACCCGGGTTCGATCCCCGCAGGTACCAACGAAATTGTCAATTAGAATTCTAAGTGTTGATTTATCCCGTGTTCGACGGTCAAAGATTAAGAATTAAGAAAAAAAGTATCTAAAGTCCGTTTTACACGCAGGTAACACTGGGACAACGCGGCCGACATTCCTTTCCCAAAACACGTACATGTGAATTAAAAAAAAAATGAGTTTGTGTGTGTGCAAATAAAGCTAACACTGGGGCAATACGGCTGACATTCCTTTCCCAAAACACGTACAAGTGAATTAAAAAAAAAATGAGTTTGTGTGTATGCAAAGAAAGCTAACACTGGGGCAATACGGCTGACATTCCATTCCCAAAACACGTACAAGTGAATTAAAAAAAAAATGAGTTTGTGTGTGTGCAAAGAAAGCTAACACTGGGGCAATACGGCTGACATTCCTTTCCCAAAACACGTACAAGTGAATTAAAAAAAAATGAGTTTGTGTGTGTGCAAAGAAAGCTAACACTGGGGCAATACGGCTGACATTCCTTTCCCAAAACACGTACAAGTGAATTAAAAAAAAATGAGTTTGTGTGATGCAAAGAAAGCTAACACTGGGGCAATACGGCTGACATTCCTTTCCCAAAACACGTACAAGTGAATTAAAAAAAAAATGAGTTTGTGTGTATGCAAAGAAAGCTAACACTGGGGCAATACGGCTGACATTCCTTTCCCAAAACACGTACAAGTGAATTAAAAAAAATTGTTTGTGTGTGTGTAAAGAAAGCTGGTGCTAGATCATCTTTACTGCAACTTCAAAACATGAGGCAGATCAGCAGAAGGCCAGTGCGCATTCTGCTTCACACCCTTTCTATAAGTAGGAATGCCAAATCGAAAAACCAAAATATCTGGACAAAATTTAAAATGTCGAGATTTTGGGCTTGTTGTCGGGAGAAACTCAGACGAAATAAAAACGTCTTTTATGTCTGAGGTGAGAAATAAATATTTAAAAAATAAACTGGAAACTAAAAAGCATATTTTTTAAATTAATTGGCATTAAAAAGACAACATTGTTGACACATAACAACAAAATTTCGTGTTCATTTGTATTACTAACTGTGTAGAATTTAGACATATTATTTTTTTCTCAAAATTTTACACTGTTTCTAACGGAAAAAAATTACGTGATATTTGCAGAGACCCTCTTTCTCCTCCACGTTAGATTGGTTGAGAATCGGTTCGAGCCTCCCCTCCCCTCCTTAACACCTCACGTAATTAATGGATGCCCTCTAATCATCTGTCATCTGTCCACTGTTGCCCTTCCCGTAGTGACGCCACAAAACACGGTCCTGACCGATCTGCATTCATCACTTCCTGCAACTCTAACCAGGTCGTTACTCCACCGCCCTAAACTTCACTTACCGATATGAGTCAGTCCCTCGAGAACCTTTCATACTCATCGGTTGTCGGTTCATCGAGCTATATGGCCGGACCATTACGTCTTTAGCTTACTGATTTGTTGGCCTTTGTCTTGATTACGCCTGTTTTACGCGGTAGAGCCATGCAGCAGCTGTATTGTGGTTATAGAACGGACGAGTCGCTCGACCGGGAAAGGACAACGTTCTCACAGAATACCAGCGTATAGTAGCTTAATGCTACTGTTTTTCGTACGGTGAATGTAGAGAACCGGAGACCCCTTTTACTGGATACGAGGCATTCCATCTTAGTCCTCAGGGGTGACAACGCATTTGCATTTTGATTTTTATTCGTGGATAAATGTAGATGTCTATGGGCCACAACATCCACTTACCATCAGATGGACTGTGTGCTCGCTTGTCACCCTTATTTTATAACAAAAAATGTCGTTTACTTTGGTCCTACATCGGACATCTTCCTTACGAAGTCTACGACGCAAGAACTCCGAATTTGACTTTCGCTTGCTTTACGAGCTAAAGAATCCCCATCACATTAGGGTAGGTAATACCTCAGGTATACCTCAAAACTTAGAAACGAGATTGTACAACCAGTGCATGTTGCCAGTGATGACCTATAGAACAGAGACGTGGTCCTTCACTGCTGGCCGTATGATGACGCTCAACGTCGCTCAGCGAGCTATGACGAGGGCTATGCTCGGGGTTTCTCTGCGTGATAAACTCAGAAATGAGGATATCCGCAGTAGAACCAGAGTGACCGACATAGCCCAACGGATTAAAAGCTGAAGTGGCAATGGGCCGGCCATAGAGCTCGAAGAACCGATAACTGATGTGGACAAAAGGTTCTCGAGAGGCAGCTTCCAACCGGTAGGCACAATGTAGGGCAAGCCCCCACTAGATTAAGTGACGACCTGGTAAGTCATGCAAGTAGTCGATGGATGCAGGTGGCTCAAGACCGCGCTTTGTGGCATTCCTTGTGGGGAGGTCTATGTTCAGCAGTGGACTTGTGAAGGGCTGTAATAAAGGAATGAATAAAAAAAATAATACTTTATTTGTCAACCATTCTAAAAAAAAACAGTGGTCAAACTTTAGAGTATATCTAACACATATCTTGCTTATATGTTCTCTACGAGTCAAACGTAAAAAAAAAATACTACATCCTGAGCACTTACCGGCGCCGCTCTGTCCAAACACGAAGTTATCCGGTCTGAACAGCTGTCCATAAGGTCCAGACCTCACGGCGTCCATCGTTCCTGGCTCCAAGTCCACGAGGATCGCTCGCGGCACATACCTCCCTGCGAAAAAAAATCAAATAAGTTATGTTCTCATATGTGACAAACGAGCATACAGTCCACCTGATGGTATGTGGACGCTGTGGCCCATAGACATCTACATCTATCCTCGATCACGAATCAAAATGCAGACGCGTTGTCACCCGTGAGGACTAAAATGGAATGCCTCGTTTCCAGTAAAAATGGTCTCGGGTTCTTTACACTCACCATACGAAATACAGTAGCATTAAGTTACTATTTTACGCTGGTATTCTGTGAGAGCGTGGTCCTTCCCCGGTCGAACCGACCCATTCGTGCTACAGTTATACTACTAATATAACTGCAGCATGGCTCTACCACGTAATAAACCATAGTACCATACCATATAACCACGTATAAAACATAGGGGTAGTCTGTGATAATATGAGTATTTCTTTATTTCAAGGTATGACTGCCTCGTTGGTCTGGTATACTCTGACTGTAATGTTGTCTCGGGTTCGAATCCCGGGTCGGGTCAAAATCACTTATTTAGTTTTTCTGGCAAATAAATTGTCAGAAGCTACTCAGAGTAAGCAATTTGGCGATGTTTCATTCACCTCCGTGCCTCGGAAAACACGTTAAGCTGGTCCTGCGCCTGATCTCTCACCGGTCGTACCGAATTCCGTCCCTTCCCTTTCATTCATTTTTGATCCGATTTACGCAAAACGAGCTTATAGTATCATGAAGTCTTGCAGTGGTATGCTTAATAAGCTGCTTAATAAGCAGGTGGCAGCACCCATCCATCTTCTCTATTGAAATTTGGATGTTTTTTAATTTCAATAGGCGAGTTAGCGTTTTCCTTGCAATTTTAGAATATATTCTAAAATTTTAAGGAAAAAACTAATTTATTAACATTTTTTCTTAAAACCCCTTCCGTCCCATACCGTCCCATCGGACCATGCGAGTGATGGAATAGAGAACTGTGCTTGCGTATACACTAGGGCACTATAATCCTGTCCTGGACAGTAGACTGATATTCTTTGAAGACTGGCTGACGTGACCGAAATTCGGTCTGGAGGACGTTATTTGTTTAAACTTTGTAGCACAAAAATGTATAAAGGCAGACTTAACGCCTTAAGGCGTTCTCTAGATGTCAATCTATAAGTAAGCAGACAACACCATTTTGGGAGATTCAATATAATTTGTAAGGTGAATGCTACACGAGTGATATTTATCACGATCCTTGTGTAACGTGTAGTATCAAGTATTGATGAATCGCGATACGGATCAGAGAATATCTAGATTTCCGAAAATCCATATCGCGATCCAAGGATCGTGATAAATATCACGCGTGTAGTGTCGTTACGATACGGATCGCGTCAGTCTGCTCTGGAGAAGGGATGGAGAAGGACGACTTTTGTAGCGATGCGGGCGAAATCGCGAATGACAGCGAGAATTCTGTTTCGACGGGACCGTCTAAAATCCATCAAAAATATTTACAGGATTTTATATTATGTTCGAAAACAACGCCCATATTATGGGACACATCGTGTGATGGTTTTAAAAATAATTGTAAGCGAATGGAGGCACTTCAGAAGTTTCTACCAATTTATAAAAAAATAAAATATGACACTTCAATAGAAAATGTTAAAAAAGTATTCGTTAAAATCGCATTACAGAAAATAATTAAATGTAATGTAAAAAAATGCAATGTGAGTGCCAATTTTTCTCTTGTAGTAATAGCTTGTCTCATTTCCTGTTTAATTAAAAAAGGAGTGACCAGTTCCAATAAGTTGTCAAAACACTTATCTAATAAATTTAAATGGGTATATTTTCCTCTAAGCCGGTACCACTGTTTATACCAGGGTGGAGCACCTGATGGTAAGTGGATGCTGTGGCCCATAGACATCTACATTTATCCTCGATTAAAATTCAAAATGCAGATGCATTGTCACCCCTAAGATATAAGATGGAATGCCTCGTTTCCAGTAAAAAAAAATTCTCCAGATCTCTACACTCGCCATACGAAACACAACATTTCCACTGGTATTCTGTGAGAGCGTGGTCCTTCCCCGGTCGAGCCGACTCATACGTGCTACAACCATAATATAACTGCAGCGTGGCTCTACCACGTATAAAAATGTATCCTTTTTAATATTATTGCCATAATGATAGCCACACAAGCTTTTTCTTCATTTCGGTCCATTTTAGATGTGTCTGCACTTAACAGTTTTGTGCCAAATACTGACGTGATCCATAATGAACGTGTAGGGTGTGTCGATATGAATCGCGATACGTCATTCCAGATCGCGTCCAAGATCGTGCTTAATATCACGCGTGTAGCATTCGCCTAAGAGAAAGTATCAACATAATACCTATATGAAAATAAACTAAGGATATATATTATTTATACAATTAAATATTTATAAACACATATACGCGACCCCCCACTAGATGGAGTGACGACTTGGTACCATGCTGGAAGTCGATGGATGCAGGAGGCTCAGGACCGCGCTTTGTGGCATTCCTTGGGGGAGGCCTATATTCAGCAGTGGACTTGTGAAGGGTTGTAATGATTATGATGACGAAACGCGTATATATATAACATACTAGTTGTTACCCGCGATCTCGCCCGCGTATAACTTAGGGATTTTTTTGCGCGGAACCCTAATTTTTTTTTCTAAAATAAAAGTAACCTGAGTTACTCACTATAACATTATCTACCTGCGAGTGAAAGCCCGTCAAAATAGGTCCAGCCGTTTCGAAGATTAGCCGGAGCGAGCAGACAGACAGACGAAAAGACAAAAGGTATAAAAATTGTGTTTTTGTTATAAGTACCATATTTATTTTCATATGCATTTAATAAAAAGCTGTTATTTTGATATCATAAACAGACACTTCAATTTTGTTTATTTGTATGGATAGAACAAATTACTAAATATATAAATACTTAGAGCCGTTAGTGTAAACACCGTTATCCTTGAAACCAGTAGTTTGGTTTCACTTATAGAACGTAAATTCAACGAATTAAAAAAACGCTATTTTCTTTCATAAAATTTAAAAAGTTTCTGTCCGATACCATCCGTAAATTCGTGGATACCTTATGCGCCCGAGTGACGTAATCACTGTAAAGATCACCGCCCGCGCTAGCTACCTACACAACATTCCAATAAAAACACAATAGGTACACATAACCTGTGATGTTACTTTTCCTTCATACTTTCATCCTGGCTTAGGACAGGCAAAAATTGAGGAATTAAAGTAAAATTGAGATTTCACTAAAAAAATGTTGTTCTTCATTGAATTTACGTTCTATAAGTGAAACCAAGCCACTGGTTTCAAGGATAACGGTGTTTACACTAACAGCCTGTATGAGGAAATGCATATACATATAACATACTAGCTCTCCCCCGCGTCTTCGTGCGCATTGTTTTTAATAATTTATTATTCTACTTCTCTATTTGAATTAAATTCTCCATTTATGAAATAAAAGTAGCCAAAGTTGACATTAGCTATCTGCCAGTGAAAGTACCGTCAAAATCAGTCCAGCCTTTTTTGGATATTAGCCGGAACAAACAGACAGAAAAAGATTTCAAAAACTGGCCAAGTGCGTGTCGTGCCACGTACAATGTAGAGGTAGAGTATACCCGTCACAATACGTGGGCTTTCTTGATAATGAGCATACTAAGTGAGTTCGCGGTTTGACCGTTGGTTTTGCTCAAATAGGAAGATGGTCACGAAAAGACTTATTTCCAAATCAGACTTATAACGAGTGATGTTCAAAAGAGATTAAAAAATATTCAATTTTGAAAATAATACAATTTACATGTAATCATTCACATGCCAAATCCGTACATAGATGGTTATCATAGTTTACTTTCTATATGTACATATATACTAGATAACCTATTTTACCGTCTGCAAAAAATATTGTGTAATATGTGAACGGAGTAGAATGGAAAAGAAATGTAAAATATTTTACAAAAAATAAAAACAAAAAAGTTTGAATTAAATAAATTAATTAATTAAAATCTATCGAAATTCAAATCATATCCACCCTATTTTACGAACGGCAATAAAACAATAAATTTAGTAGGCATCTTTGACCTTGTCAGTTCGTAGGGTCACAGGCAAGGGTGGATATGGTTTGAATTTCGATAGATTTAATTAATTTATTTATTTAATTCAATTTTTTATTTTTGTAAAATATCGGTGCCATAGGCTTCTACTCCGTTCACATGTTACACTCTATTTTATTCCAGACTATACAGAAGGTTGTCCAGTATATCCCTGGTAGTGTTACCTTAAGATATAGATATATGACCGTAACGAACCTTCCCGTAAAGCAACACTAACCTAAATTATCCTGAGGGTTGCCCGCGTAAACCAAAAGTATGACGAATGAAACTCTATGAGACTATATGATTGTGAACTACCAACTTAAAAATAAGCGAAGGTAGTAAGTAAGAAAGAAAGATCATTCCTGCCCTGCGAATGAAAAAGTAAAGCTATAGTATTAACGCAGTCTTTTCCTTCATAAAAATGTATGTTTCTAATTTCTATACAGTTTGCAATAACATTACAAAGTTATAATGCAGCTAGTTTTAGATCATTTTCTATGGAGTTGTAATGAAATTTTGACTAATCCAAGTGCATTTTTTTTTATAAAAATATTAGTAATCTTATTAATTAACATTACTAATATTCCTTTTAACCACTCCTGGTAAGCTTGAAAATGCTTGTGTTAGGAGTGGTTCACGACGGTAGTCAAATGGCGGATTCGAACCCACGACCTTGTGAGTCCGCGATCCGCGCCCTGCCATTAGGCTACTGTCGCTTATATTTATAAGTTGGTCGACTATTACTCTGTGATAGTTTTGCTTTTAACTTCATTATACATAATACTAACGTGAATACTTTTCACATTTTTATTACCTTGGACCACTTCTTTATAATAAAATCAATAAAAAGACTAAATTGTACTCTTTAAATAAAAAGAAATGCAAAATTTAATTATTTGAATTTCTTCATCAGTTAAACTTTGA